CCCCCAAAACCCCAAAACCCCAAAACCCCTTCAGAATAACACATAAATTACTTAAAGTCAAAATCCTTGAGCAAGCTAATGCTGATCTTCTTCTTAAGGCCATATTGTTTGTGGACGCCGTTGTACTTGGGGTTGATAAAGATGTTCCTGACTCTGCCCTTGCAGTGTGTTAATAAATTTTGTGGAGGAGATGCAGTTGATTTTCCTTTTAGTCCTTTTGTTGTGACATAGGGTGTATCTCTAATCTCTCTTTTATTTAGGGAGGATGCCTAGAAATAAAAGGGAAGTTTTACTTTTTCAATGTATGCGAGGTTTGGCTAATCGATTCGATGATTTTTGTTGGCGGAGGTTTATTGCTGACTTTCAAGAGCTAGGGCTTCTTTTTAATCTCTTGCTTAATTTATTTAGAAAACATTTTAGTTTTTGAGGAGCTTTTGGAGTTTTAGTCTTATTTTCTGAGTTTATTTTTAAGCTTTGAATTATCATTGGATCACTACCCAGGTCATACTTCCTACAAATAATACTCATTCTTACGGTCAGAACTGCTCAATATCCTCCGTAATAGAAATCACAATATCTCTATTCACCAATTTATCAGCAGAGCGCATTCTTGAATCCTTTGCTGCCATTAAGTTACATTTTGGTGTTGAAGAAACTAAAATTCTCTAAAAAAACTTACACTGAGACTTAAAGAACTCTCTTTTCAGCTTATTCAGCACTCTTTTATTATCAATAAAATTATAGCTTTCTTCAGTAACTTCATTGGCCAACAACTTATCTCTGATCCTATTATACTCCTTGAGCTCAGCTTTGTCTTGATCTTTATTGACATGTTCAAAATTTGAGTAACTCTCAAGGATTGACATGTCAAGTAAATTTCTTTTAGAAATATAACGTGAAGGGGTCATCCCATCTGTGATATTACCCAGCCCTGTTGTGAGTTTTGTGCCTTGATTGGATACCAAAAAGGAATCTTTTAGAGTCAATTTTGAGGGGTTCGTCTCTAAGCCAGTAGCTCTTAGACCAGACTCTGTGAAGCTGGTGGTCATTGGGCGGGTGCTTCTTTTAGATTGAAAATTAGGTCGGGTGGGAAGGGAGGATTTTTGGGTTAATAAACTTTCTGCTACCTGACCAGGTTCATTTAGAAGACTCTGAAGTTGTTCATGGTGGCTTTTACCATTGTTCTTGCCTAGATCTTCTCCATTGGTTCTTTGGATCATAAGTTTTTGACCACAGATAACAGCAAGCTTCTCAGTTGCTCTGTTTTGTTTGTAAAAACTACGTTTGTTTCTGGTCGAAAACTGTCCTGTAGAGTTTGTTCTGGTATTTTTGAGCACTTGCCTGATTTCTATAATGATGTTAGATGACAATCTTACTTTGGCTAGGTTTGTAATAATGCCCACTTCCTTGCTTTCAACCAGCACTAGTCCCTCTTCCTAAAGTATTTAATTTCAAATTACTATGATTTTGAGCAGATCCATTAATACTTGTTCGAGGTCGTGAAATGTGCTTTGCAGCTGACCTTTGATGCCCAAAGCTAAAGACTTTAGAAGGCTGCAGGAATAATTTCCTTGTTGGTTCATCTTCTTTGATAATTTTGAGGCTTTCATCAGGAGGGTATTTCCTGACCTCTCCTTTAAGAAGCACATACAATGATTTTCTATTATTCTTCCTAAATTTTTAGTTTATAATTGATCTAAAATTTAACAATGGCAACAGAAAACATTCAAATTTTTATTCTCAAGTCGAGCGTTGACATATATTTCCAATATGAACGAGAAACTTGTTCAAAATGGTTCAAAATTTGACCACAATCCTCATATAAGCAAATCCTTTAAACCGATACATAGTTTTCTCCAAATGCTCTTCATCTCTCTTAAATTTACTAAATTTTCTATCAGATCTCTTCTGATCCCAGAATTATGGGTATGAAATGATAATTTTTCAGGAAATTACCTCATAGTCGATTCTTTATCTTCCTTACTCTTGTCCAGGTCTATAACCTCTTTTGCACCTTTAGACATTATGAATAATTAAGAAAATTCAATTAAGCTTTCTCATCTTGGGGTTTTGGGGTTTTGGGGTTTTGGGGAGA